ATAATTTTTAAAAATCATTCAACAGGAGGGGGGAACTAGAGGGGGGAGGGGTAAAGGAAGGAAGGGAAAAGAAAAAAGAAAAAATGTGAAAAGAAGGAAAAAACGGAAACAGGGCTTTTGTAAATAAGGAAGGGGAAGCAAAGTTGAAGAGGAATAGGAAAAAAATTAATTAAGATACATCATGTAAAGGTACAAATTCCCTGTGATGAATGTAATCATTATGTAAATCTAAACTGTACCAATAAAATTTTTTAAAAATTAAAAATAAAAAAGTGTAGCTTTTTCAAGCAAATAAGTTATTCTACATGTACTGTATTTTCTTTAAAAATGTAATATTCAATATAAAAAGAGAATCTTGGAATGATACATATTGCATCCCAAAATATACATAAAATATATTGTTTTATGGTCCATATCTATTAGGACAAAGTCTGAAAAGATCAGTATGGAATCTTCCCAGTAGCAATTATTCCTTTGGAAAGAGGAGAAGAACAGGGGTGACTACTTTAGCTGTGTCTGCAATGCTTGAGAAAAGGAGAAGTGGAGGGAGAGGAGCCTGAAAAAAAACATTGCAAAATCAAACTCCTATTACTGCATCCTGGGTGCAAAGATGTCTGCTATATAATTTCTCTGTTTTTTTATGTGATAAGTATGTAATATACTTAAAAATTACTGTTTAAATGAGTAGAAGCCACAACAGTTTTGTGACCTCCCCCAGTCCCCAGAATGGAATCCTTATTACAGGACTTCCCACCTTGAAAGGCATAATTCCTGTATACCACATCAATGTTGACAAAGATTCCAGGAGAAAAAAATTTTAATTTGTTTATGAATTCAAAAATTTCATTTGCATTTGGTAGAGTACTCAGGACTCTGAGGTAGGAGAATCACTTAAGCCCATGAGTTCCAGGCCAGACCAGATAAAATAGTAAGCCCAGTCACAAAAACAAACAAAACAACAAAAAGGAACAGGCATTCACACACACACACACACACACACACACACACACACACACACCACACCAAAGTAGCAGCCATTCAGCATGAAATACATCTAAAAATCTCTTTCTTAGTATAAAATGCATGAAAAGAGACACAAAAAGAGAAAGCAAAAAAAGAAAATCAAATCAATTTGCTCTTAGCATTAGGAGATGTGCCATCAGAGGTCAGTATATGAACTTTCTCTGAAATTTAAAGCGCTTTACTTCCTTTTCAAGTAGTTTAAAAGTTAGATCAGAAATATGGAATAGTATTTATAGAGTACTTTTCATTGTAGTGAAGATTACAAGAGTAAAATAGAATACAATGCTCAGGTTGGATGTTACCAGCAGAACACAAGCCATTACCAAGAACTTAGAAGGCAGAATTGGGAAGACCTGGGGCTGCAGTAGTGATTCTGTTGCCTCACATGGAATGTGAGTTTGGAAACTATTCAAAAGAACCAGGAACACTTTGAAAGCAAAGCGATATTGTCATAGAATAATTCAGTTATTACCATTTGCGTTACTTTATGGGCCATGAAATAAAAATAAATTTTGGGAATTTGGGAGTTTAACATAAACTCCTTCACCAGATGAATTTTCAGCAAGGGAAAGGAAGGAATATTCATTCAATATCCAAAGGAGGAAATATTTTTGTTTTGTACTATGTTTATACTACCAAGAGTTTAAGATATGTTCATGGATGAAACAACATTTAGGGAGAGATTTTGTCTTCCTGAAAACTATAACAAGAATCATAGAATTGCTCCAAACAATGCATACACACTCATTACAGCAACATGATTGACTATTGGGATTTAGAGGGGCGGGACTCCCTTCCCAGGACTACTAGAAAACTGAAGCACAAAGTCACATTATCAACAAAATGACTTTGCTGCTTGCATTGCTACTCCAATGCACAACTGGAGAGATGTCAGAATGTGGAAGCTTGTTCTGATCTCATTTGTCTGAGAAGATGCTTTGCCTTGGCTGAGTTTCTAATTGCCAGAATTTTCAGTGCATGGGGAAGAAGAGTGGTGAGGACTTGTGGTTTGTCTCCATACCAAAGCCAAAGATTAGTCACCATATTTAATTTTAGGATCAGAATGGAGGCAAGAGAGAAATAAAAATTTAAATGAGCATTTGCAATCACAGGAAGAATTTGTAATATTTGGCTTCAGATAAACCCCTCAGATCTAATCATAAATTAATTTACTAAACTTGAAAATTTTCAATAGTAAATCTCATTTGAATACTCATAAAATATTAAGATTAATACTTTATTAGATATCATCATTTCTCAAATCACAAGTATGGACAAAAACAATATTTAGGATCAGACAGAATTCATGACCTCAGCAAAAAAGTATAATTGGACTTGACCCACATAACCAGATTTCAGAGGTACCTGCTCCCTGCTGCTGAGACACCCTTGGACATCACAGAACCGCCATATCAATGGGAGGGAAACCCTGCCACTGTGCTGCTCCCTAGGCTTCTGGGGGCATCCATGGTCTCCACACACATAGTGGGAATCATCCTCTGAATTACAGCCAGAGTAACTCCATCTTATATTGCCCACCTGCCCTCAGTGCCAGGTGGAGATTGTGTTCCAAACTGCAGTACAATGAGGCCATTCATCATTACAGCTGAACAGTGCTTATGGAGATGTGCTGAGTCACTATCAACAATGTTGACTTTTTACTGATGAAACAGCATTTTGGGAGCAGTTTTGTCTTCCTGAAAACTATGACAGGAACCACAGAATTGCTCCAAACAGTGGAAGGAGACTCATGGTAGCAATACACCTGAATACTGGAATTTAGAGGACCATAAGTCTCTCTACTCATCTAATAAAATTAATAAAATTAAGCATAGTCACATTATAAATAATATGACTTTGCTGCTGCCATTGACACTGTCATACACAGCTGGAGAAATGTCTGAACGTGGAAGCCTGTTTTGATCTCAACTTTCTGAGCAGTTGCTCAGGCATTGTGAAGTTTTCTCTTGCCACGTTTGGAGGTGAGTGGGGAAGAAAAAAGAGGTGCATTTCTGGTTTATCTCTGTTGGGGAAACCACAGATTGGTCAGTGTGTTTCACATTAGGATGAGATTGGAGGCAGTCAAAACTAGAGACATTTATAGCTAAATGGATGCATATTGAGGCCATACTCTTAAGTGAAATAAATAGGACACACATGTGTAAATACCGAATAGTTTCTC